CGTTAGTCTCAAACTGGAAGTAGAAAAAGGTCAAACTTAGAACTGAGATTTCGAAAAACAAATCTCCGTACGGGTGGAAACTAGAATATACGAGCAATGAATTCTTAAGAACTGTGAAATAGCCTGTGCGTATAAGTCATACATTCATCGAATAATAACAATAATAATTTATATTCTGAAAATAATAATTACAGAGTGAATGGATTTGCAGAAAGCCATAAAAGTACATTTGGTCTATCGATCGCACTTGTAATAAACTAGCAGAGATTATACTCAACCATTCCAGAACGAATTAAAATCGATTGACGATCTGAGTCAAGTAAGTACAGACTTGAAATATTATTGAACATTAGAAACTACTATAGTGACGGAAAAAATACAAAGTCTAGACATACAGGTCTAGCGATAAACTGTTAAATATGTCAAGACCTAATAAATACAAAGAATATGTGCTCTTAATCAGATAACAATCCTATTTTATATTGGTCCAATGGACAGTTAAAAGAGATCGATTTTAATCGGCCGTCCAGTCTTAGTCTTGATTTTGGTTGGTCTAAAGTACACCTAATAAATTGTCTAAAAACAGAAACCCGACTCTAAACTTCTAGTGACACCATAGTAACAGGTCCTAGCGAAAGGTCGTCAAATTATGCATTTGGAGATGGTTGGAATACTTGTAACTCAGGATGATGCTTTGTTCTTTTAAGTTTAAAGAACAGAATACCCCAGAGTAACTGAATTCAATGTTGTTATGACCATTCGTTTAAATAGAACAGAATAAAAGTGAATCAGGTGGAAACATACGACCACTATACCCCCTAAAATACACAAGTCCAATAGTGTTTCTGAGAAAAAACGACATACCATTAACTAGAAAAAGATTCCCAATCCAAAAATTAAAGAAAATTGACAATGTTAGAAAGAACACTTAATATTTTAAATTAACTTGTGCAATAACGAAATTGCGAAATGTACATGTACACTGCCATATAAAAAAACTAAACTTACTTTGCTGGTGGTTGTACTGAAACCAACCAAAACAAAATGGAAAGAGAATGCACATTACAGTATGAAGAAACAGAATTAAGTAATAGCGAAGAAATAATATTGGCTTCTCACATATCGACTATTTACGGAAATGAATTTTAAATCAAGTTGTGTAGCAATAAAGTTTGGGAAATTTACGTGAGGAAAAACGCATGATCAAGTTGAACACACACGGTGGGTGTGTGTAGACACCAAGATAAATCCTTAGAAAAACATTTTTGAGACTTACAATCGGTGAAATAATAACAATAGTTGAATGAAAGCACTTTATATATATAAATAATCACAAATTCAGCGAGACTTGAAACGAAAAAAATGTATCTATACTGCAACCTATTTCATACTGAGAACCCAGTAAGATATCACCTTAACAATTTGAAACAGGGATTTCAAAACACTCCGATTGTGCATAATCATTTATATCAGAGTAGACTACCATTAAATTCGAAAAGCGGTTTACTTTAGGATAAAACATAACGCTTAACAAATGACAATAACAACAAAAAAATACATACAAGTATACAAAAAACAATAAAGAAAATTTACAACTGTTTCTGTACAGATAGAAGAGAAAAGAAAAATAATTAATTATTTGCTTCTAGTACAAAACGAATTATTATGAAGTATTTTGAAAACATATATTATTTATTATACTATAAGGGTAACTGCTGCTATATAGATTTAGAGATAAGACAAGTTATGAATCCATGTTGCTAAAATTTGCATATATATATATATATATATATATATATATATATGTCTTATTAAATTTTTCTGCCACTACATCCTTATCCATATGCATATGGATGAACGAACTGTGAGTGTGCGTTCCCGTTTATAGATACGTAAAAATTCCGACCTCCTATCAATAGCAATTTTTAACAAGACAAGCAATGTAGGAATATACTGCAACAAAAGAAAAAGGATTCTTAGGACAGAATAATAATCATTTGAAAAATACTAATACACTGTTTTAAAATATTACGCAAAAATGAGAGATTTTTAGAAGCAAGCAGAAGACGAGAGCTTAGATCTATATGAGTTATCGTAACTAATACATAACTACAACTATTAAATTGCTAATTTAATAAGCATCTTGGATTTGTTGCAAAACAACATTAAGTGAGACGTATGTACATATACAATAGATTAATTTTTAACGAAGTAGTATGAAAGGGAAAACATAAGACAGGAGAAACAAAGATCAGATAGTATGAATCACAGACAAAAATGAAAAGATATAGAAAAATAAACAAAAACAGGGGATTGATTTACATGTGTATATCTATGCATACATATACGATTGTGTATTTGTGCGTGTGGACTATCGAACACACTGAAGAATGTTAAAGTAACAACAAAACAAGTATACTTAAATGAGCGCAACAAAGCACAAATATCAGACAAGAGGATTGAAGGAGTGAGATACAGGATACATTATGTTACTTGCGCTTCACAGCACTAATATCATAAACGAAGTTAATAATTGCAGTGAACTAAGGAAAATTCACCAATCTGCAAATCATCAGTTTAAGAAAGAAATATTAAATCTATCTAGAAGTATCAGTAATGAAATAAATTTATTGGCTCCTGGGTTTAGTGTAATCCTAGGTCTGTCAAGAAAGAATAGTTATGATAAAGCTCATGATTACTAATTTTAGTATCATTAGTTCTACTTACAATAATGATAAAATACCAAGAACGCGTTATTATCACAATGCCATCATGAGATAAAGAAAGACTATACACTATCAAACATACTATGTAGCGAAAACGATGTGATTGAGCGGCGCTCAACAGTCCAAGAGACTCTGACGCGAATAATAATAATAATAACAATAGGATAAAATTGATTCTTCCATCCCTAATACGGCTGCCAAACTTTAAAAAACTTAATTCTTAAAAGTTGAGAACGACTAGAAATGGGGTTGAAGGGAATGAAACTGAGTTGAGGAGTATATATATATATATATATATATATATATATATATATATATATATATATATATATATACTTGGTCTATAATATGCTAGCTACGAATTTGTTGTTGCTGTTGTGACTCTGTTCGACGACGGCAATCGCGATTATGCTGAGCTGTCCAGTGTTCAAACTGGCATGTTTCAGAACAGTATGCCGTCCCGGGACAACAGTGGTAGAATGCTTCATTTAAACACACTTGACACCATGTTCGTTGTTTAACTCGTTTAATCTCAGCTTCATGTGCACGACGAAGTTCAGAGATTAAAATGTCGCGTCGATGAACTTCCTCCCGAGCTTGATCTCTCTCAGTTGTCAAGGCAATAAGTCGATCAGCATATATCCGATGAATTCGTTCCTACAAACAATGAGATAGAAATGTTTGTGGATTTAAAATGTTGACATTGTGTTGAAATAAATATACAGCTAAAAGATGTGCATATGTATATACATATGGTTAACATTTTAGAAATCGCGTTATTAATAAAGAAATTCTTAATAAAGGATATCACAAAAAGTAGATGAAATATTATAAAAGCTGACTTTTTACTGAGGATTCGAACTTAACCAAAACTAGTGTAAGACGTCGTAGGATTAAAGTCAGGAAAGTACAACAGAACTGTCGATAATAAGATATCTATGTTTATTACTTTACTGATTTATTTACCTTACTAAAGTTTAATGCACTAGGTCCTAGGTTGTAAGAAAACATTCCGTCTGTCCATTGAATTTCACAAATAAAAACGACTGAAAAGGACGTTAAAAAGTTTTAGAAAAACACCCTTGACAATTCGCAAGCCGTGTTTATCAAACAGAAACATAAATTAATGTTTGAGTTCAACTAGGTACACTATTAAACCAGTAAATAAACTAATTAATTAACAATCTTCAGAGAGATATGTCTACGTTCGCGAAAGCGAAATTGGATCAAAAGGCTTGTTTAACTTTGGATTTAATGGAAACCCTGATAGGTAGTTAAGAGAGATTTTGTGGGTTACATCAATTTGAATAGCGAAGGTACAACCAAGTCTTTTTATTAACATGGTTTACTTTTCAATCGAGCTTGATGAATCTGGAAAAGAATAAAATTGTCCAAGTCCCTTAAAATAAGGTCTCTTGACTTCTTGATGTCACAAGAGCACTACATAAAGAATAAAAGGGTTAAAACGAAATGATATTTTAGTAAGCTTTGTATTAAAATGAGGACGGAGTTTCTAATGTTTAGTGTGTAAGTGATATCCTTTTGGTGTTGTAACTAGTTAAGAGCACGGGTACATGAGACAAGACAGTTGCTGTTTAGATTAATAATCTGAAAATGATTCATTATGTGAGTATATTAGGTGGAACAACACTTGATGTTGTATAAGAGGATTACAAGACAAGTAATATAAAATGATGGTTTCAGTAACAAGAGAATCAAAGAAATTAGTAGACAACAAATATAACACTTTTTATAATATTAAATATTCATCAAAGGAATAGGTAATATAATTGTATATTTCAAAATTAAGACACACCTCAGTTTTTATCATATTGCTATCAGACTGCAAATGAGCAACCAGTCCACTGCCATTGCCTGATGAGCAAGAAAAAGGTGCATTCCCTAGCATAGTTGCTACTTCACCAGGTGATGCGTCTACTGATTTCGGATCACTTAAACTAGAACCTAAACCAGACGTAGACGAAAGAGCAGCTGGTGACACTGAAGAGTAACATGAAGAAGATGCTGAAGAGTTCGAAGGAGGAGTTGGACCGGTGGAGACATTTGCTCCAGTTGGATGAGTAAGCTGAGGCGCTGCAGATGGCTGATCATTAAATGTAGACAATATTTTCGTCCCACTAGACCAGCCAGAAGGATGAACGGTTTTAGAACTGAGTTTGGTATTGGGGCTATCAAAAGCGAAATTTTTGACGGATGAGTTGGGTGCCGAAGAACCCAGAGATTTATTGTCAACAGAATTACTACCATCGCCAGGAACGCGCAGAATTCCGGTTACCTAAAAAAGGAAACGGATGAACAATTTAGCTGCAAAAACACTGATTTACATACCATACGAACACTATTGTTACTTCGACCTATAACTTGATTTCTTACTAGCCAAACTTCCAAAGACTGACATTTTCCTCATCTCTAAAGAAGCTTGAAAGTAACGTACATGTAGGTTTAGTTAACTTGACTAAGAATGGCGAAAAGTTCCAGCGTTTGTATTTATTAGATTTACCAATCAGATAATAAAACCAATAGCTACGAAATAAACTGTTTAGAAAGGATTGAATGCCATTCAGATCAGAAACGCGAACACCGAGACTTCATACATACACAGGTATTTTATAGTTAAGTAAAAGGCTACGATAGCAATAAGGTAGTTAAAACTAGAAGGAACTTCTTATAAACAAAAACGAAAAAATAAATGTGATTATTATCATTTTCTAACATGTATGTTGTCAAGATCCTTGGAAAGTTCATTACGATATACATGGAACTCTTTAGAAATCAACAGCAATGTGTCGGTTAACCGAACGTAAGTAGTTTAAAACGAATTGGACATTCTTATTTAGGCATATTTTAAACGAAGCTACACTTTCGACGAACCAACTGATTAGGTAGTCTATGTGAGGATCTTTGACAAGTTTCAAAGTCACAATATAAATTCAAATAAGAATGTAAACGTTTACAATTGAAACTTAAAAGAAAATATTACTTTAGAGGCAGTCATTTATTTAACTTTTTAATTGGTAGTCTTGGTGAATTATTTTTGTCATATTAAATGATACAAGAATTGTTGTGAGCGAGTAACCGCTCTCTAATGTTAGAAATTCATCAAAAGCAAGGGACCTTCAGTAACAAGATCACAACACAGGCATGTACTGACTTGCTAAATAATCTCACAGTTAATTAGAACTAGTGTTTGTACAGACTGCGTAGTGCTTTATAGATAGGACCATGTAGACCATTCGACAAATCCAGTAAATGCTAAGAAATTATTATTATTAGACATATGATCAACCCACTAGATTATTGGTTAGATCAAAAAAGTATATGGCAAAAGAGAACCAGTTTGGATCAACTTACCTTTTCAGGTTTTAGACTCTTTTCCGGAGAAACCATACAGAATCCGACGTCTTCATCCTGATAGTCATTATTCAAATCTGTATTTTTGAAAGTATTTATAGCAGTAGATCGCGAAGACGGTCGGAAATGTCCCTTCATTTCCAAGTTATGGCGAGACGACTTAATTGATTTAGTTAATTTGGGAACGTGTTGACTACTATCAGCTTCTTTTGTCCCTTCCTTATTATCACGTGTTTTGAGAGTTAACTGACTTTGGAAAGGTGTTAGGATGTCTTTTGACGACTTTTGCTTGACTCGAGCGGTCGACAGTTCGTCATTTATCTTTGGTTTTAGTGTAGAGAAGGATAACCGTAGAGCAGGAGATGAAAGTGTGGATGTTGAAGACAACGAGGAAGAAGACAACTGAGATGATGATGACACGGTGGAGGATGAAGAAGAAAGAGAAGACAAATCCGACTCTGCATCTGATAAGGATGAAGGCGGTGATAAAGAACACACTGGATGTTGTTTATCTTCATCTGCAACGGTTAGCCTATCTGAACGGATAGGAGAACTTATCGGTATTGTAAGAAGACTATGCTTGTTATTAGCTGGGGGTTCATAGGTATTTCTTGCAGATAACAGTAACGGGGTGGAAGAACAATCATCAGAATTTTCGGTAGCACATTTGGCGCTCGCTGAAGGCAAAGAGGACTTGGTAGATTTATGAGTCTTGGGCGGACGTCCACGTGATTTCTTGGAAAAATCAGAATATGTTGAAGAGGCCGAAAAAGCTGATGAATCAGGAGGGGTATGGCCACCAGAAGAGGCAAGGGCAGGAACAGTTGTACGGTCCGATGAAGGACCAGATGCAGCAGAGGATGAGGAGGACATGCTGTGTACAGGTTCTGTACGCACGACATGACTGTCAACACAGGTCAATCGAGGGAGAGACTGATTGGTTTCCTTCACAGAAAGAGGAATGTCGTTGTTTTCACTTCTAAAAGGCAACGGCTTAATGCGTATAGTCCGTTGTGTTTTAGCCGCAAAAGACGTTGTTGAAAGCTCGGATGAACTAGAGTCACAGCTCGGAGGGACAGCTGATATGCCGTTGGAGAAACTAGGTCTTGAGTGTGCTTCGTTGCATCGCTTTCTTTTATGTGACTTTCTTTTTGTTGGAGTAGGTAGGAGAGGTATCGATAGTTTCATAGACGATTTATTTACACTTGGATTCTCAGGAGTAGGCTCTGAAATGCGGCACTTGGTTTCCGGACCATCACTGTCACTGTTCAGTGACGATAAGGAAGTTAAGTTATCTATAAAAATGAAGTAAAAAATCAGACCACTATTATTATCCGTATCAAATTTATGAATAATTTCAACAAACGAATAAAGTAAGCTAATGATTTAACATCTAATTATGAGATTCACTAATATTTTTGTCTTACTATGAGGCATACTGTTAAAAAAACAGTTAGTGATAAGAATGCTTAAGCAAATGTATCTAAACAGTTTACACCGTTTATAACGATGAACTTAATGAACATTTTATTCTGGGAATTCGAATGAAAGGAGTTAAAACCCCTTATCTCAAAACAAATCATCGTGAAATAACTCCGTGTTTAAAAGTGGAGTTGACAGCTTATACAACAGTATATAAATTAAATGCTCTTGTAGGAGTATTAGTGTATATGAACTGTACTTACGACAAAAAACCACTTATTTTTATTAAGATAGGCTGCACAAAGACATATGACCTGTGTCAATCGTGTATTGGTCTAAGTTGTCACCCTACACCAAACGGAAGTTAACAAAACCAAGAAAACGGATATAGTTATACCAACAGTTGTGAATAACCACCAGAAAGAAAGCAAAAAAGAACCAAAAAATAGATGAATTAATAATGTGAAGGGTATAGAATTAATGGGTCCTTATCACAGTCCTTCCATAAAAACTTAGTTTTTGACCGATAGAAGCGACTAGAAATCACATGAAGGTTACTAACAGAACAACAGGGAAAGAGAAAAATCAATGAGCTACTGCTGGATCGATACATTCCTGCCTACTTGTTTATTAGGCTTCAGAAACATAATTTAGTCGGACCTGAACCAAAAAATTTTTATGAACATGTGCTATTTAGGAAAACCAATAGGTAACCAATTGTTTTACAATTAAACCAGATGAGAGACTTGTTTATCTGGTTTTGCTAACCAATCAATATCAATGTCTAAGAATAAAAGATCATAGCGATATCAGGACATGTGCACAACGGTTATTAGAAGACGAGATTATGAAAGCGAAGGTAATTTACTTTAAACATGACAAACAAGAGGAGCAATGATTCGTCTATTATAGGAATGAACATTTTGAAAGTCCTTATTGTTTTATTAGAACTGTACCTTGGATACCTAACCTTCCTACTGCCGTTAATACCACTACAACCTCTACTGCTGTAGGATTTAACCTGACAATTCCGTCTCACTATGCTAATGGGATATGGCAACCCGAACCGTTGTACACATGTGTCGGGTCCTACGTTACGTCTGACTGACTGACCAACTGAGTTTTGTCAATGTCCTCCGGAAACCAGTGACTAATAAAGATTAGATAGAAAAGACGAAGTGTGCCCAATTTGGGTACGATGACTATGGATACCAGCTGAAAATGAAAATTTATTTGCAGACTATTTGAGTTAGTTAGAACGGACAATGAAACAGACAACTCATACCTAATTTTAGATTGAAAGCTATAACGCAATCATAAATAATGACCGAGAACCTAAAATTGGTAAATTCGATTTCCAAAAACTAATTAATAGAAATAAGAAATTTAGCACATTCCATGAAACCACAAGTGGCAATAAAATTCAGCAAAATGCATAACCCGTTTCCTAAAGGGACTAACCATGTGTAAAATAGTCACTTTAAATTGTTTGAGTTCCTGAAATCTGAGCTTAAATTTGTATTCTCAAAGAAATCATATTTTCACTTTTTCGACACTCATCATATGCTAGAGAATGGTCTAAAAGCCACGACCAATGAAAGCAATTCGATTTCATCCGATACAAGTGAGGCTCAGACAGTGCTTGACAAAATCTCATAAAAAGTCTGAGACAAATATGAAGGATGTATTGGCTGCACAGACAACAACAGTTTATGAAAACCACCAGTAGACCTAACGAACGTTCGACGTACTAAGCATCTAGAAAATTTTAATAATTGATAAATAATTTTTTGATGAATTGACAGAAAAAGCTGTTAAAAACTTGGTATTTTCCCAGAGAAATTTGAATACGCTAGATTCTACTTAATTTTTACCGATTATGAAAAGAAGCCAATAGCAACTGCTTGAGCTTTAAGATAAATTTAATTAAGAAAGTTTGAAAGTGTGAAATCTTTTAAACTTCTGAACAACGAGGATTTAAAAGTGTGATAACTATTTATTGCTCTAGACTGGAGTTAAAATAATGCACGGGGGTACATATAATACAAGTAGTCTTTGTGACTACTCTTACCTTCAGTAACATTCTTCATATTATCTGACCAATGTGAGTCACGTCGAGACGTAGAATGCTGTGACACAGGACACCACACAGGTGAATTTGCTCCAGTGGATTTGCGAGATTTGAAAACTTGCATTTCAGGCGATACGTTGAAATCTTCATTGTGAGATCTAGTAGATAGTGGACGCCTACCAGGTCTTTTCTTTTTTAAAGGCGGAGAAGTAGCACTTTTCAGGAATGTTCCATTAGATATAGACTCACTGATTAGATTGTTTCTTATGGAATCTATCGAGATAGGTTCAGCCAGCATCTTGTTTGGCAGATCAGAATTCTTCATTTGCTGATCAAAAATAGCTTGGTTTGTTTTGTACTCTTCAGCTTCATTCAGTGCTTTTTTCAAAGGTGGTGTTTCTCGTAAACCAAGTTCATCTGCTGTAAAATTCATATCAAATGCTCTCGCTAGTGGAACAAAAACTCTCTCATGTCGTCCACCAAAGCAAACTACTTCGTAGCCCTCCGTACTCTCATATAACATTTTGCAAGGACGAAAGGACCACCCATTGTGTTGGAACCAAAGGAGACGATGAGCAACCCGACAAGGTGCTGTTAATTTATTTACTGATGCTGAGTGAAGACGCAAGTAACAATCTATGCAAAAAGATGATTCTCGCAATTCTCGTTCTAGCTGAGATCGTATTTGTCGAGCCATATTGCTCATATCGTTTTTAGAACCGTAAAAAATGGCGGTGTTGTGAATTAGTAAATCCACATCAATCAGAAGGGAGGTTCGATTAGGATAACAATCTTTAGATGATGGATCTGCTCGCATACGTTCGGTTATAAGACGAGTATTAATTTGCCGTAATACGAGGTAGTTATTTCGTAAAGGTTCGTTTAAGTAACCAACAACCTGCATTGTTTTCCAATTGACTTTGTTGCGGATCCGATCAAGGACAACCTGGAAGATTTTATGTAACTCCGATGGGGTGCTAGGATTTGATATATTAGATGCTCGCGACAACCGCTGGCAAACAGGACATGGGCTAGTAGGTGGGAATCCACTAGACATATTTGAATCGGCTTCGGATCCACCAGATTCACACGGTATAACAGAGGACAGTTGTGATGATAAGGCAACTGGCAAGCAATCGGGGTGGTATACTCTGAAACAAGTTGGACAAGATACAACATGACCTGGTCCGTGACATTCAAAGCAATACCTGAATTGGGAGAAAAACAGATACAGCGTTAGTTGACTAAAAACTGGACAGCACATTTGAAACAAAATAAGTTTTTGTGGTGAGATGATGTTTTTTCTTTAACGAGGCCCAGAAGCTACCACTAATTTCCGAAAAAAGCCAATGACTTAAGAAATGACAATCAGTAAGGTTTGAATCAGAATTAGGGATTGGAGAAACAAAAACACTTAAGATGTGTCATAAATGTGCATAGTTCTTAGACGTCAAACCTATCATCAAGATAGCTGGTACAAATCAACTCGGATAGTAGTATGAAATAACGCTGCCTAATATATATATATGAGCGATTTTCCCAGTATTTTGACAAAAATGAGGAGACGGATATATTAACTACTGGAACGAAAAATCCAGTGTTTTTGCACTAGTGAACACTGTTTAGGAATAAAGCCGCTTGGATAGATTTATAGCTTCATATGGTCAACAACCACCTAATTTTAATATTTTAGAGACACTGATAATGGATTCTAAAAAATGTAGCTGGCAGTTGGTGCTGGTTCACGTTGGTCACATCAATCGACGAAATTACTGTTTGTGAACAAAAATAGCTCGACGGTATCTTGTGCGTCCTTAATCGTCATGTTCTGTAGAACATTTCGTAACAAAAATACTAATCGACCAAATAAGACTAAATTAGTACATGGTAACGAATCGTGGAGCACGTGACTTTACACTGAGTCATGAATACTACATTGCCGAGAGATAATTGAATAATCAATATCACTGAGATGGTGGAGGTTTGTAACTCAGGTGAATGATTTTCATGGAGTTTCGCTACATCATACGTTCTACATTGTTAGTGTGGCGCATATGTATTTGGTGCCTCCTTATACCAATGTTTGCGATCAAATAAAGATATAAACGTAGCAGTTACTTCACTTAATACTTGCTCACAGCCTTTTTAAGTTGGTTTCCCACAGATTAGCAACTCGGAGGGAACAATAATAATCGGATATTTATCTACAAATGACTGACCTCAACCTTTTGACATTGTGCAACAGCAAAAAGGTGCACTGACATCGTATTCACTCGATAAGCGAGACAATATCTTACCCGAGCAATGAGTGACTTAGATTGCTGCATACTAAACATGTCTTCAGCATTCATGTCGTATCTTGACATTGAGTAACTACATTTTAACTACTTCTAAGCAGTATTCAGTCAGACAAATGACCCACGACCTGGAAATGGTTGAAACGCAAAGTGGTAAACGTTCCTCGAAATCAAAAAACGTGACTCGAACAAGAACTAGAATCCTGAAGCATATGCTGCAGAATGTGTAATACTACGGTGACTAATGATTCGTCACGAAAAGCCATTGAATACGTCTAGGGCAGTAATTTCAGGTTTTTTGGGCACGCATTGCAGTTATCTACACCGGGAATTTACACACCACTTCTCAGAGCTAGAAAAAGAGCCAGTTTAGAAAACCGCAAACATACGCGCGTGCCAACTATCACATTGAGATAAAAGATTGTCCATTGCGCTGCATGCCAATACAGCTTTTGCTTGAGTGTGAATATTCGAACTTTTCCGAGCTTAAAGGCGAATACACATGAAAATTTCCCTTAGTCCTGTTAACAAACTCATACAGTGAATATTATGTAATATAGTTACGAACTGCCATGTGTTGTCAGATGAAATCGTCATTATATTAAATATCTGTTCTTACTGAGCAAACCTACCTACATTACTACTGTCATCTTAACTTTAGATTCGTCTCGAGAATATTCCGAAAGCCAAGGAGTGGGACAGATGAACTTATGGAATGTACCTATCGTGCAGTTGATTTACTACTGTTGGAACTAGTGATTTTTTGTCTCACTGTAGGCCCCACAGATACTCGGTGATATCAATAAATTCAAGAGCTTGTTTCCAATAAACAACAAATATTATTTACCATTATATATATATATATATATATTGGTGGAACTGGGTGTACAAAAGTCATCTCTAGAAGTGACGGAAGCTTTGTTGTGGAGCTAAAGAACAATTCGGCGCAAGATTACGGAGAATTAGTAAAAATAATGTCGCTAAATTGCAAAAAAGACATTGGTGCCTACTCCTCCTCTAGGATGCTTACACCATCCCAGTTCACAAACTAGTAATTCCAAAAGCCGACCAATCCGCAAGTAGCTACTACTTCAGGAACTAGAGTTGAGTATTGTTACATAAGCGCATAGTTGTCGCGAAAACAACCACGTGACTACTACTGACCTCTCAGTTTCAGTGTACCAACAAATCCTAAACATCTCAAGCTGTGAGAATTATTGCGCTGTGTTTGGACGTTTTATTATGGAATGTAAGGCCATGTGTAACGTTTACATAATTTATCACAAGGCTATTTATCCCCTAAAAGAAGTAATACTCAGTTACAACACGAATAACGTTGCCACCTAAAAAAATCAGATATTCTGCATAAAAATTATCATACATGTCCACGAGCCTCAAAAGGAAGAATATAGATATTGAATCGGGGCTCAAGCCCAACCTACCAATCATGTTTATCCTTCACTTTGGGCATTGGATCGCGTTTCACATAACAGCGTTGGTTACATTCTATACAACCATCGCTTATAGCGTTTGAGAGTTCGTTTTGCAGTTTTCCTGCAGTGCATCTAGAATCACATTCTCTTTGAATAAAGGACAACAACTCGTGAAAAGAAGATTCGATGGAATCTCTTGAGCATGCTTCAATTGCATTCCACACAAACTGGAGATATACAGGATCAGTATACCTCCTAACTGACATTTCGAATTTAAACTGGATGAATCATAAGCCGTTTAAAAAAGTTTAATGGGGGAAAGAGTTGTCATAGATTAATTGGGCATAATAATCACTACAATCTTTCAGATCCCAAGAAGACGCAGACCCAAAAGTCCGCTGCAGATTCATAAGCATAAACTCAAACAAACCCTTCAATCGCCAATCCTTTTCAAACAGAAACCGTCAATAGGACTTCTCTGGAGATTCATGTTTATTGTATTGAAGGAAGTTATGGGCAGGGAGGAACAATGGCACTTGTTCTTATTTTTCATTTACCAAAAACTACTAAATATTATTCAACATGATTATTTGACATATTTTAAGAAGTTAAGGTCAGTATCTCACTATAATTTGCTGATATTTTCTTCTCTTTTGTCATTAAGTACACCTAGACTTCTACCTGGCGTCATCAGTGATACACTGCTATTAGATACACAAGCCCGTTAAGCTAAAGCTTCTAATCGAATAGAAGCCCGCTAACAAGCAATACGTCATTGTTGACGTCCCTATCAAGAAACAACTCATGATAGCAGCCAAGAAGTGGATTGTTAGCAAAGATCTGTGCCTTTATCCAACGGGCCTGGTCGATATCCACCTACAAAGGTGCGACCAACCAGATGACAATTGGGCAGTTCTGAAATGTAAAATCATTAACGAGTTCGGTAAGTAACAAACATAGAAACTATGATTCACTATAGATTCTCTGCAGTCGGTGAGAGATGTTTTACTTTCAATGTAAATACTGAAATCTCACCGTGGAAACACTTCTACGGATGAGAAAACATTGCCACATCGGAATCTAAGCATGTCGGTTGCGCTATAGCGGATCAGTAAGTCACCTGCATCATCTAGTGAACTTTTTCAGCTTTGATGGGTTGTACAAGATTTTGCAGAACATATCCTCGGCAATTACTGACTTGAGTAGTAATGTTAAGCAGTTACTATCTAAGTCTAACGAACGCGAACAACCGCATCGATTCGATTGCGGGCTCTCCAGCCAGCAGTTCCCTTTGTCATCTGAAGAGGAGCTGCAGATGCTGGAGACTGGTTTGCAGCAGAAAGAAACCAGAGACCGATTTGTAAGTCATCAACATTAATTTAATAATTTGTCTCGATTACAGATGGCAATGGTTACCAGGTTATCAGGTGATGATCCGGAAACCTCAATGCGGTATGTTCTGTCGTACCTCTTAACACCTGAGTTTGCCAGTAACTTCACGTTACTTGGAATTTCTTATAAACGACCACTTCTAAAATGTTGGTTTTACGGATGCATACGAAGTAACTCATATTTAATATTTAAACTTCAGGTGCGTTAACAAATCGCTTTTTATCATCCTCTGTCAACGAAAAAGATCTTGCGAAGCTGTACGACATAGCCACACTAGGTTTTCACGATGTCAGAGACAAAGTGATAAAGTGTAAAAGAAGGAAAGAAGGGCAGGTATGTACTAATTTAAAGTGATAAAATTCCTTGCGGCTCTATAGTTACAGTCATCACTGTTAACGGACATAACCGTAAGTTTAGCTTAAAGTATTTGGCTGTGCCAAGACATGTCATTCAAATATTGTTGTGACTTTTTCTGTTTTTTAAACTTATTAATTCACAGGACGACTATTTCAATTCTCAATAGGCGAACGGATGTGGCTGAAGGGAATAATCCATGCAATTTTTTTATGTCCTACCTACCTTTTAATAAACATTATTTTGTCAAAGAAATTACTTTATTACTTATTTGGGAAACTATACTAGTGTCGAGAATGTGTGTTTGAGTGTCAGTTAACTTTAGATTACATGCAAATACCTCATGAATAATACATCACCAGTTTCATCTTTTGTAGATCTTTTCAAATAACAATGAATTGGCAATTACAATGGATATACAAAACGATTGATGCTCAAGCTTCTGCTCTAATGTTGTACAATAACACGATTTTCCTCTTAAATAAAAATTTTTAAAGATACATCGGTTTTCCAGTGCATTGCAGTTTTATTTCGGTCTGTTGTTGAAAATAAAGGAGAACATAGGAGACCTTTTGGGGTTATGTCAGTGGATCGAAAATAGGGGGTTCTGTGTGTATTTAGGCGAAAAGTAGACAATTTGGTGGACATTTAGGCGGAAAGTAGACAATTCAGCGGATATTTAGGCGAAAAGTGGGCAATTTATCGACAAAGCGGCAAAAAAGGGGGAAATCCGCAGTATCTCCCCCGGACAGGCGAAAAGGCGACATTCTGATGCGTTTTCCCCTTTATTTCCTCTTTGTTCGCCTTTATTTCCACTTTTTTGGTTGTTTGGGTCTATCTAGAACCATTTGAAACCATTCGATAAAATGGATTTAGGGTATTTTACCAAGGTAACATTTGACCAGAGGTAGGTTTTATCTTTCTTTCAAGAGTTTTGATCAAGTGAGTATTCAAATTTCGAGTGAATTTCATTGCTCACAGACTTGTCACAAAGTGTATTTTTCTGAGAAACTATGTAGCCAAGGCTTTTATTGTTCCAGTGAAACACATACTACTTGGGGTCTAAGAAAAATAGCATATTTTTTTCACCTTCAAACAGTAGAATTATACTGCGGGTGGTTGTGAACACTTTAGACAACAAACAACCTAGAACTGTGAATATATCAGTGAGTCCTTGTCAAATCAGCAACTAAGCCGAACCACTTCTGTGTTTGATGACAAATCAATGAATAATGGACAGTTCAGTTATGACTAATGCGAACTAATAGACAGGAAACCATGAACAAACATATACACCAGTGTTTCCACATCTGATGCTGACCTCGTTAGTTTTAATGAAAACATATAGCTGAGGACGCTCGGTCACGCATTCGCAACAAATCACGATTAGGTACGCCGTTCTACTAATATCCTACAGCCGTTAACTGGCTTAGATTTAGTGCCTCTCGATATATCGGTATCTTTATGTTTTAACAGTAATATAATTTATTCACGCCAGTCACCAAGCGAAGGAATTTCCTTGTTTATCATGATGAGATAGGCCAGGTTGTGTGTGGACAATCAGGTGTACCTTCGAAGACGCCATACGTTTACAGCCCAAGCCGAGTAGATGGGTCACTCATTTACATGGGTGTTCCACATGATAATTAGTTTACTTACTTACGCCTGTTACTCCTCGTGAAGGAGCATAGGCCGCTCACCAGCATTCTCCATCCAACCCTGTCCTGGGCAATCCTTTCTAGCTCCGTCCAGTTGCAATTCATCGTTTTCATATCTGCTTCTATTATCCGACGCAATGTGTTCTTTGGCCTTCCTCTTTTTCGCTTCCCTTCAGGATTCCAAATTAGGGCTTGCCTCGTGATGCAGTTTGACGATTTGCGTAATGTATGTCCTATCCATTTCCATCGTCTTTTCCTAATTTCTTCTTCAGCTGCAAGTTGGTTTGTTCTCTCCCACAGAAGGCTACTGCTGATGGTATCCGGCCAATGGATGTTGAGTATCTTGCGTAGACAATTATTTATAAATACTTGTACTTTCTTGATTGTGGTTGTTGTAGTTCTCCAAGTTTCAGCTCCATACAGTAGAACTGCCTTGACCTTCGTATTGAAGATTCTCACTTTGATATTGGTTGAAATTTGTTTTGAGTTCCATATGTTCTTCAATTGTAGGAATGCGACCCTTGCTTTGCCGATCCTCGCCTTTACTTCTGCATCTGAGCCTCCTTGTTCATCGATCATACTTCCCAGGTATGTGAAGGACTCTACATCTTCCAGAGTTTCGCCATCAAGTGTGATTGGATTGCTGTTCTCCGCTTTGAATTTGAGGACCTTAGTTTTCCCTTTGTGTATGCTGAGGCCTACTGATGCAGAGACTGCTGCTACACTGGCTGTCTTCATCTGCATCTGTTCGTGTGTACGTGATAGGAGGGCTAGGTCATCTGCGAAGTCCAAATCGTCTAATTGATTCTGAGCTGTCCATTGTATTCCGTGTTTTCCTTCAGATGTCGAGGTCTTCATAATCCAGTCGACCACCAGAAGAAAGAGAAAGGGAGAGAGTAAACAGCCTTGTCTGACTCCGGTCCTTACTTGGAATGCATCTGTCAGCTGTCCTCCATGCACTACTTTGCACCGTAGTCCGTCGTATGAGTTCCGGATTATATTGACAATCTTCTCAGGAACTCCGTAGTGTCGAAGAAGTTTCCATAACGTCCTCCTATCTACACTGTCGAATGCCTTTTCATAATCAATGGAGTTGATGTGTAGTGATGAGTTCCACTCAACTGATTGTTCGACGATGATCCGTAGTGTTGCAATTTGGTCTGTGCACGACCGATCCTTACGGAATCCAGCTTGTTGATCTCGAAGTTGAGCGTCTACTGCATCCTTCATCCGGTTCAGCAACAATCTGTTGAAGACTTTCCCTGGTATTGACAGTAGTGTTATGCCTCTGTAGTTTTCACATTTGCTCAGATCTCCTTTCGTGCCTTAAGGTAACCCTCGTGCTATTGATAGAAGAAACCAGAGAAGTAGTGAATAGGTCTTTATTTCGATCTTCGCGCAGTCACAGTGGAGCGTGGGATTATCTGTTCAGACAAACAAAGGCTCTCAACATTCAAGATAATAGGTAATATAACGCTTGTGAAAAATAAGGAAGTGAATGAATACTTGAACAATACTGTTTTGGCATAAGCTTGATTGTTTGGGGTCAACTCTTAACCAACCAACCTGAGCTGTTACATTAGCTTCCCCCTAGAATCGACTTCCGTAGGAACGTCGGTTCGATTAACCTATCTATCGAAAACACCTTAGTTCTATTTCTCATCCCAAGGGAAAATTATCAACTCGCTCACTATTTGACTTACAATCAGTGACGACTAACGCTGTCAACGATAGTTCATGGATGTCTCCTCATTTACTAGCTTGTCATCTTGTTTTGTAGCATGTGATCTATTCTACAACTATCGCTGACGGTTTACTGCGTGCTTTCAAGAGAAAGAGTGTGAGAATGTGGAATAAGAATATCTGAGGAAGTGCCGCGAGCGGGCTACCCAACACCATGTTGGTGAGGTACGATTTTTCCATGCTCAGACCGGCTATCAGGTGTTTACTCACCTGCCTCTTTAGTCGCCCTCAAGTAAAAAGTAAAGAAGAATCTACTTCAAAGGTAAT